CCTCAGCCAGCAAAGCTGGCTGAGGAATTCTGGGAGTTGAAGTCCACAAGTCTTAAAGTTGCCAAGGTTGGACACCCCTGGCATAAAGGATCACATATTCCTACGGATTCAGCTCCTCTGAAAACCCGGTTGGACTGGTCCAGTAAAAAGGGATTTTTGCTTTTTTTGAGAAGGACATCATTCCGTTTATTGGAACCTCTTTTCTGCTGTTCACCTGAAATACAGATGAATGTCTGTTTGTTGGCTTGGATAAAGGAGAGCATTTCTGCGGGATGCAGGTAGTCCTTGACTTACGATCACAACGGAGCCCCAAATTGATGGTGCTAAGTGAAGGGAGGCATTTGTCAAGTGAGTTTTGTCCCATTTTTATAACCTTTTTTGCCCCCGCTGTTAAGTGGATCGTCACAGTTGTGAAATTAGTAACAAAAGGGTGTTAAGTGAATCTGGCTTCCGCATTGAGTTTGCTTCTCACAAGGGGCTCGCGGGACAGGGCAACCATCATAAAGACGAATCCGTGGCCAAACATTGGAACTTGGATCAAGTGACCACGACGGTCACTAAACGGACTGTTGTAAGCCGAGGACTGCTTGCGTTGCCTTTGTTTTTTGCCACGAGGTTGTTTTCAGTGAGAGGAGAATTGCTTTGAACAACTCAGAAAGGAGATTGGAAGGCAAGATCATTGGATAGGGGCTGCTTGGGCGGGGCAGGAGGGGTTGGGCTAGATGACCCACAAGGTCCCTTCCAACTCTGTTAATCTGTATCTAATCTGCATCTGATAGGAACAGCAGCAGCGGTTGCCATGACTTCGTGACATCTTCAGCATCTCTGGGTCTCCCGCAGCAATCTGTCAAAAATCTTCTCCCGCTACATAGCACGGTCTCTTGTCTCCTGCTATGTTGGAGCAAGACAAGCAGATTTTTGCTTCATGTCTCCCTGGTTGGAAGCCCGAGTTAGTGGTTTATTTAAATCTCAACCTTGGCAGGTTTCAGATCTCTGGCTGGGAAACTCTGGGCGTCGAAATCCAGAGATCTTAAAATGGTTCAGGTGGAGAAACACTGCTCTAAAGATCTGTCCTGCCCTCCTCTTTTCACAGTGCCCGACCTTCCCATTCTGGAGAAGAGGAACTGGCTGATCCACCTGTACTACGTGCGCAAGGATTACGATGCGTGTAAGGTAGGAACGAGTTTGGTGAGGTGATTAAATCCTCTGGGCTTAGCCCTGCCTTAGGCACGGGTGGGAGGCTTTGAGCCAGTCACTCTTTCTCAGCCCTAGAAAGAAGGAAAGGGCCCAAATATGGCTTGCACAAAGGTTGCCAAGAAGATCGCAGGGACTTGTCAAGGCAGGCATTAGTCAAGACTGAGTGAAGCACCAACCACAGAGGAACATGTCTTACTTCAAACAACCATTCTCAACAAGAGAAGAGGAAAAAAAATCCAGATCTTTGTTCTCAGGAGGGGGTTCAGTTCTATTTTCCATGACTCTCCAAGTCAGGATTTGGCTTCCCTCCTTTGTTTGTGCACAATCCGTTCCCCTCACCCCCCCCCCCAAGAATCTTAACTAGTGTGACTAACTGTGGTTAGCACTAACCAGGATTGCAACCCAGTGTACCTTTTGAAGCTGATTGGGGCACTCTAACTCTAACCAGGGTGTAATGCTAAACAGTGGGGGAGGGAATAAGTCTTCCATTAGCCAGTAATTTGTCAGAGATATCTGGAATCAAGTTGCAAAGTATTGTTTGGCAGTATAAAACTTGTCACATAAGAGGGGAAGAAATATGTGACCCATAAGTTGTGTTTTCACTCCAGTGGCCTTTTTCCTGACGAAAGACTGTTTTTGCTTACAACACTTGCATGCCAAAACAATTAGACATAAAGATCATTTTTTCCCTCCCGGGCCATCACTCTGCCGAACACTCAATTCCCACAGCACCATCTCATTTCTCATCTTCTCATTTTTCCTACTCTCCTATTGGTTTCTTGTGATTTATCAAGTTGTTTGTAACTTAGGATTAATGCTTATAATTATGATTTATGACCTATGACTTGCTGTTTATATGTACGCTGTGAGCTTATATTCAACAGAGACAAAGACCAGTAAAGAATTCTCTTCTGTTCTGTTTTATTCTGTTCGTTGCCCTGCCTTTCCTGTTCTGTTCCACCCCATCCCCTCCCATCCTATTGAATCAGGATCTGTCTGGTTCCTTCTTTGCTCTGATTTCACAAACTCAGTGTCTCCAGATGGTCTTTGGTTTGATGAGAAATGTAAGGCAGATAACAGATCATCAGAGTTGGAAGGGACCTTGTAGGCCATCTAGTCCAACCCCCCTGCCCAAGCAGGAGACCCTACACCATTTCTGACAGATGGCAGTCCAGTCTCTTCTTGAAAGCCTCCAGTGATGAAGCTCCCACAACTTCCAAGGGCAACTTCTGTTCCATGGGTTGATTGTTCTCCATCAGAAAGTTTTTCCTTATTTCCAGGTTAAATGTCTCCTTGATCAGTTTCCATCCATCATTCCTTGTCTGGCCTTTGGGTGCCTTAGAAAATAGCTTGACCTCCTCCTCTCTGTGGCAGCCTCTCAAATATTGGAAGACTGCTATCCTGTCTCCCCTGGTCCTTTTCTTCACAAACATAAATCGTAACAATAAGAAAAGCATACATGTCCTATGCCCTCCCTAGCACCATCTTGGGACACCCATTTTAAGTTTCAGTGCCAACTTCCCCAAAGACTCACCTTCCATAACTGAGTGTTGAGTGCCTGTTGTAAAAGCACCGGTCAGTTGGACATTCTGCCTCTCCTCTGAAATAAAACATTCTCATGATTGAATTTCTCTTCCTTTTGGGCGTTCAGATTGCCATAAAAGAGCAACTGCAGGAAACCCAAGGAATGTGCGAATATGCTGTCTACGTTCAAGGTAAGAGAAAACGACTCCATGATTAAACAAAGCTTCCAGCTGCATTGATGTGCTTTGTAAGAACACACAGACACCTCTTTGGGCACCATCGGAGCTAACGGTGCTTTAATAATCCAGCACCTCCTGTTTCGTAGAAAAACCCAAGAGCGGAATATTTGCACAGTCGCTGGTTGTTTGGTGAAGGGAAGACATGAAATTCAAAATTCAAACATTAATTTACCTACAGTGACTTAAGACAAATCTGGATCACGTCTCCATGCAGCCTTGGGGGCAATCAATATGTTACTCATCAGGTTATTTGCTTCCAGTGTGTTTTTTAAAATTAAAAATAGGCGATTTTTAAATGAGAAATATAGCCCAGAGCAGGATACCTGAGTTCCTTGTTCATTCATGTACATATCTGAAACATTTTTAGGCTGTCCTTTAGGACAGAACTGTTCCGTAAAGCATGAGCAGAAATTAAACCATTAATGTTAAAATACGAACACGGGATCCTCCTGATTAACGTGCTATGGCAATGTTGCTTCCAGCTTTGATCTTTCGCTTGGAAGGAAAAATCCACGAATCTCTGGAGCTTTTCCAGACTTGTGCTATTCTCAGGCCTCGATGTGCAGACAACCTCAAGCAGGTGGCCCGCTCCCTGTAAGTGTAATTTCATTCTTCCTCTCTTAAAATGTCATGTGGAGTGGGGTGGGACTTCTGGAGAGGGCGTCAATGGCACTGGCATCCATATGTGCATAATCATCTTCCCAGCACATAATCCCCAAGGTCCTTTTTCAAGAACTGAACTTTCTGGTTTTCCTTCGAAGAGGTTTTGCTTCTCATCCCAGAAGCTTCTTCAGCTCTGACCGGATGGTGGGGAATGGAAGGATTTATCCTCCTTGCTTGACAGCTGATTGTTTGCCGTCTTTTTAGAGCGTTGCGGAGTCCATCAGGAGGTTTGTCTGGGTCCGCAAGCAACAGAAATCCTTCCGTTCCCCACCAGCCAGTCAGAGCTGAAGAAGCTTCATGGACGAGAAGCGAAACGTCTTCAAAGAAAAACCGGAAAGTCCAGTTGCCTCTGAAGAAAGCACCTTTGGGACAACCATGACCTGGATGCGACTGAGAATCTCCATAGAGATTCCCAGCATGTATTTTCCTTGACTGCACGCTTCAGAACTTAGCTGGATCAGCACCATGATTCAGGGATCCATTGCCTGGTGCATCAAGGAAGCACACAAGAAGGGCTGGAAGACAACAAATTATTCTATTATTCCCTTTCTCCAGAAAACCTGTCTGTTGGCATATTACCCTGAGCCAGGGGTGGGCAACTATGGCCCTTTTATG